CTGTATTTTTCATTATTGAATTTTCATTTGGCTCTTTCTTAAAGTATCTATTTCTTTGCTAACATTTCTTATCTTTCCATTAATTATGAAGAGATTTTTCTTTATGTCCTTGAATATAATAGCTCTTTCAAGCCCCTGCCTGCTAATTCCAACTTCTGAGCCATCTTTGGAGTCGCCTCCTTTACGTTGTTTTTTCCTCATGAGAATGGATCACGTTTTCATGTTCATTTGTATATCGAGTAATTTTAGATTATGTCCTGGACATTGTGAATGATAGATTGCAAAAACTCTGGATTCAGTTAGATTCCTCTGAAGAATGGTTGGTTTGTTTTAGCAGGCAATTAACTTGGCTGGTCTCAAATCACAGATTCTCTCCCCATGCTGTGAGCAGTAGCCCACATCTCAATTCAATTCTCTTTGCCTTAGCTGGGCTGCTTGGAGCCTGTCCTGTGTGTGCATGGTTCCAGGTTCAGCTAGGGTTTTGGGCAGATTTTATAAGACTAGTGTCTGTTGTCTGGTGAATGGCCGTTAAAAAACAGGGTCTCATCCAGGGCCCCTCGCCCTCGGTGCCAGCCCCGCGTCATAGTCCAGCTGCTGTGGGTTGCTCTCCTGTTCGGTCAAAGGTTGCTTCTTATGTCATTGTCCATAGTTGCTATCTGCAAGAGGGTTCATCAAATAGTTGCTATGCAGACTTGCCAGGAATAGAAAGAGGTCACTATTTTTAAAGAAAGATTTTAGTAGAAATCACATTTTTTAAAAATAATTTTGAGATGGGCAGTGCCACCACCATACAAAAGTGCATTATTTCCTGCAGTTTGAGATACATGAAGAGAAATGCAGTTTTGATGCATTCATGAACTAGACATCCAGTCTGCTCTGCCCATTTGTAAGAGAAAAGAGCAGAGGCGTACGCTATAGCCCTATGGCTTTGCATTTAGCCACAGGTCAGCCACTTAGTGATATGCCATCCATGACTGCATCTCAAGGCTCCAGACTTGTTTTCTGCAAAGATATCAGGCGGGGTTTTTTGTTAAAAGGTCAGTTCCATTCCTTTGTGGTGAGGCAATGTTGGGTAATTATAAGAGATCATGTTTCAAAACTGGTATTCCCGTGAACTTGCCAAAACGAGCTCTTTCCCTCTTGGCTTTTTTCCCTCCCAATTTCTTGCTGCTCTTTCTCTGGATGTTTTCCAGATTCACCTAAGTAGCCTATCAACCCAGGCTGATTTTGTGATGCTGAGGTGATTAAAGTCCACTCTTTTTTTTTTTTTTTGAAAGATTTTATTTATTTATTTGACAGAGAGAGAGAGAACCCAAGTAGGCAGAGGGGGAGGGAGAAGCAGGCTCCCTGCTGAGCAGGGAGCCCACCACGGGGCTCGATCCCAGGACCCCGGGATCATGACCTGAGCTGAAGGCAGCTGCTTAACCGACTGAGCCACCCAGGAGCCCCTGAAGTCCAATCTTTAAGAAAACGTTATTTGAGCAAAGAGTATTTCTTATATTTAAAAGAAGAAATGGTTTGCAGTTTCAGAGAGAAGAACAGTAGTGCATCGCTCACAGGGAAATGCCAGAAATTAGAGAAAACCTTTCTTTCCTGGTGGTAAAAGATCAGGTAAAAGTACGGAGCTAACTAACATTTACTTCAAAGTTTTACTGGTTTTTTTCCATGTACTTTATTTCCCACCCTAACAATGGGTAGGGTAGACAGTATTATTCTCATTTCTGAATGAGTGAACACGTTGAAAGAGGCAAGGAGGCCTGCCCCACAGAAGCCGGCAGACGTGCGGTTTCTAGTTTGTTGCCCACAGCTTGGATGGCTCAATTATCAGCCACTCAGGACCGATTGCCCTTTTCCACTCTAAAGCTGGTCTGGGTTGAAGATTTGTTTTTGCATCTTAGCTCAGTGCTGGAAACGAGGAACCTATTAGACCCCTTTCTTACTCTCCATGAAAATACTTTAGAAGTGAAATCACACTTTGTCGCTCCAGAACGGAAATTTCATCAGACCTCTCCATGCTAGCTGGTGGAGGGCATGAGAGCAGGTTTCCCTGGAAGCACTGCAAGCCCAGAGAACAGTCAGCAGCCCCACACGCTCTGTGTCCTTGTCCTCCAGATCGATGACTTTGATGACTGTGTCTGTTGATGTGGGGGAAGTGAGGGGAAAAAAAAAGAAACACCATGTAAAGCCCTGCTTTCCCCTTCACACATCTCACTAGATGGGACTGGTGGGTGACCACAGGCAGGATGGCCACGTGTCCTACCGTCTGTAAGGAGCAGCCCGAGCTTTCCCCGGTTCATCTACTTTGAAGTTTGAGCCCTAGAAACCGCCGTCCCCAGAGAAACCATGGCGGCTCATTGCCAGCTCACATCAGGCAGCCAGACTCTTTCACATGGAATGTATTGCTACTAAAAATATTTGCAGTTTGGGAAAGTATGTTTAAATTTGACCTCCTTGACCCTCTGCACATTCTGGTTTCTTGCTCCGGGCTCTGCAGCAGCTTTAAAGAGAGAAGTTCAGAAACGTCTCCGTGTGTACCCGTACTCCGTCTGTGGGATAGCCCTCCCATTGTAAAAACATCTTTTATGGGTTATTTACACTCTTGACTGCTCTGAGCAACAAATGATGGTTTCTCAGAAGCATTTTGACATGTTCTTTTTGGTATGAGAACCAAGTACTGAGATCAAAGTACTCCCATCCCCGTTACCACTGTTCTGCCGGGGGTGCGACTGGCAGGTTCGGGGAAAGAGAGGCCTCGGTGCCAGTCGTGTGCACACGCTGTAAACCGACACGGAAGCAGGGTCCGAGCGGGACAGCGGCGAGACTCGGACAGTCTAACCCCACAGTGCAGCCAAGTGGTATGTGTGCTTGAGTGGTAGAAGGGCCTCCCTGAAGGATTCAGACAGTCGATTCAGGAGGTCGGAGAGCAGGGGAGAGGGAATGTGGAAGAACCAGGGCGGACGGAGCCTGAGAGGGTCTCCTGTGGCAGGGACCTCACAGGATCTTTGGAGGTTTTCATGGGGAACAGTAACCTTAAGACCAGGGAGACCCATTTCACAGAACAATCCATATGACATAAACTGCCTTAATGGGACCTGTTTAAAAGGGAGTTCCCATTGTGCTAAAGACTAGGTCGTCGCACGCGGCCTTCTCAGAGCTTGCCTGTTTTTCAGTTATTTGAAGAAGCTGGAAAAAAGGACAAATTTCTTGACTTTTTTTTTTACCTGATTTTTATGGATTTTTCAGTTGTTAAAACGATGTTTGGAAATTCAGATTCAGGGTCTGTTATTTAGGGCCCTGCATGAGAGAAGCGTGCAGAAAAACTAACCAGGGGCAGCTCCTCTCTCAGGCCAGTGATCTCAGCCTGGGCTCCTGCACCCAGTGTGTCCATCTCAAAGAAGGTGGCCCGCAGTCCTTCCCTGTTGGCGTGCGGTAGGCTTGGTGTCGGCTCCTGTTGGCCACTCAGCTGGTTGGCCCTGCTGGTGTGGCTTCACTGCCCCACTGCCTGTCACGGCTCATGCACACGGTGGTGCTCCAGCATCCGCACTAACTGCGTGCGAGAGTGGGCTGTCGGGTCGCAGCGCAGCCCAGTGGGAGCACAAGGCAAGCCGACGGTGCACTGTGGCTGGAGTCCCCATCCCCGGCCCCAGGGCTCGGTCCCCAGCAGTGCTGGCTCGGCGCGCCCCTGGCCAGTCTGGAGCGTGACTCTGATTCTTGCTTTGTCTGGAGCTTGTCAAGGTGCCGTGTTCCTTTCTAAGCTGGGATCATCCAGCTGGAGCAGGAAGAAAACCAAAATCATACTTTCAGGAGGGAGTAGAATCTTTTGGCTGAAAGCTTTCCTCTTAAAGCGCTAAAGTCATCCCGGGGGAAAACATAGCCATGCCTTTAAAAGAAAAAAAAGAACTACCCTTGCATCTGTAGTCAGGGTTTGCTGACTCAGAGCAATCATGAAGTGGATTTGTCCGTCGTTCCCTGACTTAAAGGTGATTGCAGGAGTTAGCTTGTGTGAGAAACCACCCGCTCCAGCCCCAGGCAGGCAGGAATGTCTTTCTGAAACAGTTGAGCAAATTCCCAGATTAGAAAGGGTCTGCTGCAGCTGACCTCACTCTTTCATGAGTAATTCTGGCTGGTTATTGACGGCGCTCCACCCGGAGGCTCGAAACCGTGAATGAGCGTCATTCTCAGAGGCTGAGCGGGGGCTGGCGGCGTGCAGGACAGAGCCGCAGCCGCGGTGAGGCCCAGGGGCGCGGGGACCTGGCACCCGCCGAGCCCCCCGGGGTCCTGCGGCCAGGGGAGCTGGCGGGGGCCCGCTCCGTCTGCGTGCAGGGTGGTTGGCGGCATGGCAGGTGGCCAAGGCTAAGGAGGCGCGCAGCAGTGCCCGAGGAGCGGCGGCCGTGGGCCGGGCGGGGCGGCAGGTAGCCTCTGCCGGGCCGCGGTGAGGAGCGGCGGCCGGCAGCCCGTGTCCTCATTTTCCGGGTGAGATAAAGCACTGGCCAGGCTGAAAGTTCGGGAGACGGTAGTGAGCGGGGTAGGGAGATTATTGGCCAGATTGCGAATTTGTCACCCTGCGTGCTGCTGTGCTCACAGGACGTGGGGCTCTGTGTGCGTGTGAGGAGCCCGTCCCGGCACTTGGCCGTGCTTGACGAAGCCTTGCTTGGGATTTCTCAGGGCAGTTCTATTCTGCTCAAAGTAAACTTGGTATACAAACATCTTCCCCGCCACCCCCCGCCCCTGGCTCATCTTTGATTTTCCGCAAGCTCTCCTTGTCTTCCCAGCTGTCCTTTTCTTACCTATGGCTGTGCTGAAAATCGACTTGCCGTTGGGACCGAGGCTATTCTAGAGTCATCCTGTGCAGAGTTAAGAAACCTGATCCGATCTCCCTTCCCTTATTGTTTTCCTCTAGCTAGCCAGCTGGTGCTCCTCAGATAAGCCCGGGTGGGGTCTGGTGTGTGCTCGCTCACTCTGGCTGTCAGCTCCCCTTAAACCATGTATTGTCTTTCTAGCACAATCCTGGAGGAGGAGAAGGTTCAGCAAGAAGAACGGATGAGGATGGAGTCCAGAAGACAGGTCACAGTGTCCTGGGACTCCGGAGGGTCCGACGAAGCGCCACCCAAGGTAGCAAAGGCCCCTACCCCCACTTTGGCATTACTCCTGCTAACTTTCGAGGTGGATGGTATGGGCAACTGCTGTGTGTGGGGAAATAGCCAAGCATCAGGTGGTTCTAGGAATAGTCCTTACAGCCCCACTGCTCCGGCTCGTTTGCCCTGCATGTTACCCTCACGTGCACTCCCTTCCTAATTTGCATTTCAGCTGTAGGCCGGTGTCAGGCTCAAGCTGTTAGATTAGATGTGGTCTTAAAAGCCTCTCCCTTGGCTCCCCACCCCCCATCCTCAGACTTCAGTGAGCACACTAGGTGTGGAGGAGGGTTTCCCTTTGTTGCTTGTCAGGAACCTTGCTAAGGATCGAGTCAGGATGAAAATCTCAGATGGACTAAAACCAGCCACCTGAATGCTTTACATTTTGCTCTATTTTAAATTGAGTCAAATTGCACCTAACCCCGTTCCTTTAGGGTAGGGTTTGGGTGAGAGCCTTGTGCATTCCCTGCCTGCTGTCCGTGGCTGGCTTCTAGGTATGGGGACTGGAGGCACATTGCATTCGCGTGTTAAGATCTGCGGGCAACAGCCCCAGGCCTTGCCTGTCCACCGTCTCCAAGTCCTCAACCTCTGGGAGGTGGCCAAAGCCTTCCCCTGTTGCTCAGCCACACTGTGGCTGAGGTTTTGGACATAGTTGGCCCTTAAACACTCCCATGAGATTAAGAACTCTTTATACACCTTTTGCTTTTGACAGAATGGTATTTTTACACAGTGGCTTACTTGCCATGAATAATCCAGTTTAGAACATTTTCTGGAATGTAAATAGATAATAGGCTTTACCTACTAATTAATGAGCTAAAAATATATTAAGCTGACAATTCTTCATTTTCTTTTTGAAAAATGTTCAGAGGCCCATTAGCACAAAGTACTATTTAAATATTGTACCTATTTTTTTATGATGCCTGAAAGCTTGTATTTTCTTGGTTGGTATTTTCAACTGTGTAACGGTAAACATTATCACACATTTAAGGTGACTACAGGTGACTGACACAATTCTTCAGAATTTTAGAGGTGAAGGGTTCCCTAGTCCAGCCTCCTGAACAAGTAGAAAAACTGAGGCCCAGAGGAGGCAGGCCACACCATCTGTCAACTGGTGTTCCTTTGAGTGAGTTAGTGACAAAACCAGTATGCTTCTGCGTCTCCTGGTTTAACAACAACCAATAAACCCTTAGTTACCCACAGAAAAACTGAGAGAACTGAGAGCCCCTCATCCCAACATGTCCAGCCCTCCCCTTTGTATATACATGTTTGCCTGTTTCTTAACTCAGGAGCAACGGGACAGTGGTCCGGGCCTGGGAGGCGGGAGAGTCTCGAAGCTAGACCTCGGGCCTAGGGGCCAAGTGGATCTCTTCAGAGGGGCTCTGATGACTGGGCAGTCCCCCTGCCTGTTGCCAGCCTCACTCTCCTCGCTGTGCAACAAGCGTGTTAACATCCCTACCCCTTGGGGGTGTGGTGAAGGCCGCGGGAGGTCCTGCGTCTGCGGCCCTTGAGGGAGTCAGGGAGGCGTCAGGTGCTGTACGCACTTGGTGGTGAGCACCACACCTTGCAGCATCCCCCAAAGCCCACAGAATTGAAGAACTTTGTCCATCTCGGCGTTCTCCTATACCTCAGTCTGTAGGATGTTTAATCGTTTTCATTTGGCTAAATTTTAGACGCTGTAGTATGAGGTTAGGCTTTTTCTGTTTTAGAATACAAAGACATTTTTTTTCTGGTTTTGGGACCTTTTTCAAAGTGCCTGTTTTGAGACTCTTCTCTATAATTGGAGATCGTTCTGCCCTTTACAGTGGGTCAGCAGACTCTAGCCCATTGTCTGCTTTTGTGATTAGAGTTTTATCGGAATGAATTGCATGCTTCGTTTGTGTCTTGTCCCTGGCTGGTTTCAGGCTGCGGCAGGGTCGGTCAGAGCGTGGCTGCACAGATTAAAATATTCACTCTTTGACACTTGGAGGAGAAGGTTGACAACCCGTGGATTAAGTTTGCATGGCTAGAAAATCATCTGCACTAGTGTAAATATATAGATGCTTGTTGAACATAAACAAATACACTAATTATTTGGCTCCCTTGCCAGTCAGAACCAGGTCTGGATGCGGTTTTTTCCCTTCTCTATGGTAGAATCAGACTCTGCTCATATGGGCACTGTATTTGGCCCAGCTGCAAGTAAGTCCCTGGTCTCCAGGATGCTAGCCCAGCGTTGGGTCCTGCAGTTTCCTCCACCCTGTGAAGTGGGAACTCTGGAGCCTCGTCAGTCTTTATAGTACTGTGCTGTCTTTGGACAGCAAACTCCACTTCATTTTCTTCAGTTCACGTAGGATTTTGGCTTTTATAGATGAATGTTATGTACTAATAAAATTTGTAATTCAGCCTAGTTAGTTTTTTAAAGTGAAATATTTTTCTCTCCCACATTCAAGATTCAAAATTGAAAGCTTAGTCTGCCTTCGGCTCAGCTCATGATCCCAGGTCTTGGGCTTGAGCCCCACACGGAGCTCCCTGCCCAGCAGGGAGCCTGCTTCTCCCTCTGCCGCTGCCCCTGCTTGTGCACTCTCTCTCTCTCTGTTTCTCAAATAAATAAATAAAATCTTTAAAAATTTTTAAAATCTTAGTTATAAGACTTAATGGCAAAAGCATTATGACTGCAAAGCTAATTATTAAAAACATGTTACCAATTTCTTCATCGGTACTTAATACCAATTTTTTCACACAATAATAATCTTCAGAGGAGTGCAGCCTGGGTTCATTTCATTGCTGCAAGTTGTCCTGCACGTCCCCATTGGATCAGTGGAGAGCCTCTGGCTAAAAATATCCTTTTTGGCAGTTTTGAAAATATATTTCTTGGACCTCTGGGTCCCCAAGACCATTAGAGAGGGCCGTGAGAGCAAAACCCGTTTCATAATAATGTCCACGTGTCGTTGGCCTCATCCGTTCTGCTGGCATTTGAGGTCCTCTTGCAGACGTAACAGTGAACGAAGCCGCGGTCACCTTGGCACACGCCCGGGCAATGGTGCCATACCGTGCTGGTCATCACTCTGTTCGCCACCGTGCTCACGCAAGAAAGAGACGCCAGGGTGCTGAAGAATGACCTTGATGAAGCGGTCACAGGCCTTCTGTGGGAGGAAACAGCAAGCACAGGGAAGACGCTGTGCAGCTGAGTTGTGGAACTAACCACTTTTCTCATGGAAAACCAGTTTTTCTCGAAAGTAGAGTGGGCGGACACTGTGGTTCGGAGTTGGGCATTTGGTAGACATTTTCTCAAAAAAGAAAGAAGTGAGACTGTGTCATCAAGGAGAACAACTGATAGCTTGTTGCCGATGATAAAATTTTAGTTTTCAAGCAAAAATTAGAATTTTGAAAAACATCCATCACCATGACCTTGACAGCGTCCCAACTCTGAGACTTTTCTGATGAGCTCAGAGTGACATTAACAAACGTGATTTTTCCATATGTCTACTGAAAGGAGTCGGCGTTGTGAAGGTCCACGTACCGCAGCGACTCGCATTCTCCACATGATCGCTGCAGGACGTCACAGAATCACACGTAGGTAGAAGATCCATTCACAGTACAAGATGGAGTCACGGATCTTGATTTCATAGATAATGACACTGTTTCAGATTCCACACTGCAGGTCAAGAAACCACCACTTCCTGAGTTGGGGTGTAATATCAGAAACAGTGCCCACATCTGTGCCGAGAAACTGTTAGACTCCTGCCTTCCCAGCTGTACAGCCGTGTGAGGCTGGATTTTCTCCATGCGCCGCAGCGTGACAGAGCGGAAGCCCGTGGGAGAACGGGTGGCCTCCTGCTAGGCCTGACATCACGGGAAGTGCATACACGCATGTGATGGGTGCCACTCTGCTCACTGATTTTTTTTTAATAGGTATTTTTTTAAAACATGTAATTAGTTCGTTATTTTTAAGTGTTTTAATTTTAATAATGTGAATATTGGTAGATAATATTCCAGCTAAAACCCTTGGAGTCCTCAGTAATTTTTGAAAATATAAAGGGGTCCTGAAAATAAAGCGTTTCAGAGTGGCTGCCTCAGAAGCGTTTCTCAGCCCCAACAGGACCCAGCACTCCCACTTCTGTAAGGAGTGTTTTGTGATATCCCGCGCTAGCCCTCAGGTAGAATACACAGGCAGTAAAATGACTTCCTAACTTCAGAATGCCAGTTCTTCGACTACTAACTGCACGAGAAAGCTAAAAACGCGGGCACACGCCTGCGGGAGACGCTCGGCTGGGATCGCACCCACAGGAGTGGTGAGGTGGCCAGGTGCCGTGCCTGGGTGTGGGCACGCCGTGGGGACACAGCTACAAATGCACGGCCCACGGCCACAGCGGAGCGTGGATTTCACTGGTCGTGTGATGTGATTTTCTAGAATGGCGAAAAATCTTGGTAAAGTGCAAACAAAACAAAGTAACATTGTCCGTCAGTAGACACAGGAGTTGCTGTTCCAGGAGGTTCAGTGTCTGAGAAACTATGCCAAGTGTTACTTGGGTTCGGGTTGCAGGCTTTGTTGTTGTTCTACCTCCGTAAGTTTGAGCGGGGCGTCTGAGAGGAGAGCGGGCCCCGTCGTCCTGACCCTGGATGCCGGTGGCCGTGCTCAGCAGCTGCGCCCTCTCAGTTACTCCCAACCCCTGGCAGGAGCACCGCCACCTGACTCAGAACCACCGGTTAGGGTGGGTCCGTTTTTCCTTTCTCTTCCTCCTCACTCGGGAGAACTTCAGCAAACACTCCCTCAGCTCCATCATTTGCTTTATTAAAAAATAGTACAACCCAAGTTTGTGTCTTTGAGAAGGAGGGAGTGTCCCTGCTGAATCCTAACACTTGGTAGCAAGTGACACTTTGGGTCACGTGCACGGAGGCCATCTGCAGAGAACCTGACGTGTTGTTCCATCTTCACGAGAGCCCTGTCCCCATTTCCCCGTTGAGAATGCGGAGGCACAGAGGGGTGAGCGGCCCTGACCACACGCCCTGGCCCTCGGGTCCCGAGCCTGCCCCCGCCTGCCATGCCGGCTCCCTGTTTGTAGAGAACACAGCACAGCTCTTCGACAGTACGTGTGCACTCTCCACAGCCACTGTTAGCAGAATCTGATTTTGTGCTACTCTTGGTGCGATAGTTTTGTCTGCCCTAAAGCTGGTCTTCATCTTCCTGTTTTATTTTGAAATGGAACCTTGCATGTGCTCTTTCGCTGCCCACTGAAGTCGGAGTCCCTCGGGGATGTTGTATGGAGATTTTGCCAGTCTCTGGTCAGTTCCTTTTGTTTCTTTTTATTTGTCAAGTCCAAGTGCGCTGGTCATCGAGCAGCATCCCCACGTAGCGGATTTCGGAGCGAGCAGTTCCACCAGTATGGACTGTGCAGCCTGTTCACATTGCCTGAGCTCTCCAAGCCTCAGTTTCATCCTCTGCAGAGCAGAGTGATAATATTCCTGGGTGGCATGCTGTTGAGCTTGTCACATTGTGTGGGAAGCACCTAGCTCTGTGCACACAGGCCATACTGAGTAAAAGTTTCTTTGTGCGGGTGGTACTTACGTGCCACCTCCAGAATCCAAGCCAGGGGACACAGCTGTACAGCTGTGTGTGTGGTTACTGTCCGAATCCTTGGCGCTGCACCCTTCCATGCTTGGACTCCGGGAGGCCTTTCCCGGAGCACCACGCCACGCTTACATGTTAACACTTAGCTTTACAACGAGTGCCGCCTCTCCAGTGTCCTACAACAGAAATAGTCGAACTTTGTTGTTTGTTGTTTTTCTTTACCTCTCTTAACCACTTGTTCAGATGAAACCTTTAAAAAATATAAATCTGAAGGGTAGTCCCTTGGGCTTCATGGAATGTACTTTGGAAATTGCCACCCTAGAACACAGGGTAAAGCCTATGACACCCCTTTGATGTCCCTTTCCTGTTTCCAGGGGTCTTGGGGATCCATCCTCATATTTGGGTAAGTTTGGGGCGAACCGCATCTGGGCCACTGAAGTGTCGGCTAAAGGGATGAGGGCACATTTTCCAGCCTCGGAGGTGGAGCAGGCCTGCGGTGGTAGGGCTAGAGCATTGGAAATGCATCACAGAGGAGAGCAGAGGACTGGCGTGTCACATCGGGTGGGAGAAAACAAGAGATTTCAGGCACTCTCCAAAGAAGACTCAAAAGGACGGGCAGCGGAGACAGTGTGAGCAGAGCGGGAGGGTAGCGAGGCTCCTCCTGGACGCCCAGACTTCCTCAGAACTTAATTCGAGCAAAGCGTGTGTTCCTCCAGGACCATGTGCGTCCATGGGAAGAGACAGGGGCTCTTGAGGTGTTTCTTTCCTCCCCTGGACTTGCTGGCACCTAAATCGTCTCCTTTTATTCTGGACTTCATTTGGCTAGAGAACAGTGGGTTTCTGCTCTGTTAAATCCGTCAGATTTAGAAAATTTTGTGGACTTCTATTTCAGACTAAACCATTCTTTTGCTATGAACTTTAAATTCATGTAGGTCGCAAACAGATTGAGAATTTTAGACTGGGAGTGACTTCCGAGTCTGTGTAGCTCAGCTCCTGTCTGATAGACGCAGACACCATTCGGCTCCCCACTTGCCCGGTCACAGGGCCAGGAAGCCACAGAGCCAAATGAACTCCCTGCTCCGAAAGCCTCCCGATTCGCATTTCCTTGGTGCCGGAAGGTGTCACGCATCTTGTTGGCCCCTGATAGATCTCCCTCGGGTCCGCTCAAGTCCTTTGCCCACCGTTTATTCAGATTATTTATCATTTTATTGTTGAGCTCCAGGAGTTCTTTGTATATCTCTGGATATGATTCTCTCATACATACCTGATATGCAAATGTTTTCTTCCGCCCTGTGGGTTGTCTCTTCTTGGTGGTGCCATTTGCAGCACAGAAGCTTTTAATTTGGATGATGTGCAGTTTATCTTTTTTGTTCTCTCTTATTGATTGAGCTTTTGGTGTCCTTTCTACAAAACCTTTGCCTACCCAGGGTTACAAAGACTGGCCCGTTCTCTAAGAGTTTTATAGTTTTACCTCTTACATTTAGATCCGTGATCCATTTTGAGTTAATCTGTGTGTGTATTGTGGGGAAGGGGTCCGGCTTCGTGTTTTCACATGGGGATACCCTGCTTTCCCGGACGTTTGTGGGAAAGACTGTTTTACCCACTGAAGTGTCTGGATGCTCTTTATCATTCTTTCCAACTAAAGTCTTTTAGAGAAATGCCTTTTTCTGTTATTTTCAGTAAAACATAGATTTAACAAAATTTTCAAAACACTCATTCCTATGATGCTCTGTTGATGTGTTCACAGCCCAGCAGACCCGGTTACCCGAGTCCAAGGTCCAGTGAAGGATTTTATCCCAGCCCACAGCACATGGTACAAACCAATCATTACCAGGTACGGAGGCATTACAGACAGAAGACATCTTTCATTCTTCACGCTTGGGGGTGGGGAGGGACATTGTAGATTTTATATTCTTTATTTCTGTACGTAGGAGTATGGTTTGGCAAGCAGAAAGCTAGAGAGTCATCAACCTAATAATTGTCTAAGTGGATGCTGTGTCGACAGCCCGGAGCGCTGTCACTGACCCCTTGGCCTTAAAGCAGCTGGGCAGGTGTCCTGCCCCACGTTCTCTACTCCATTCCTTTCCTCCATTTGGGTGACGTGTGGGGCACATCCGGTGGCCCCTACTGTATGCAGAGGTAGTGATGAACTGGGTGGTGTTTCTGGAAGGCAAGAATAACATTCAAATTTACCTTAAAAACCAGACAAGAGGCCATCTTGGACAGGTGTGGATAGAGGGTCAGACTTACAGGCAAATATCTAACACAAATTAGGAAAGACGGTCCTTGAAAGAAAAGGGCCAGAAGCAAAGTCAGTCACGTTTTGGTCTTGAGGGGAGAGTATTTGTAAACGCACAGATGTTGTGACAGACGTGTACGCCCGTGTCCCCCACACCACACCAAGACAGAGAACGTGTGTGTGGGCCTGGAAGGAGCCCTCCCCTCCCAGCGAGCCGCCTGCTGCCTGGGCACGGCCATTCTCCGACTGTTGCCAGCGACTGGTGTTGCGTGCTCTGGACTCAGAGGAATGGATCACACGGGGTGTCCTCTTGCGTGCTCAGCTGTGTGTACTCGTGGTGTCTTCGAGTGCTCACAACTTTCTAGTGTTGAGCGGTATTCCACAGTGTGGCTGTACCGCAGATTTGTACCCAAACGTTGTTTGGAGACTAGGCCAAATCACTTGTAGGAAGGAAAATCACCTCTGGTAATTCGCGTCGGCTGTGGCCCTTTCGTAGCCGCGCCTCTTGTGTTCCTGATTCTCGTAGCTGGCTGACTAGGGCAGTTATGATGACCAGCCTTGAACAGAAGGCACTTCACTGAAGAATAAGTCACACACAAAACAAGCAATGGGTAGTCCTTGGGTCTTTGTCCGGAGAGGGAGAAGCTGAAAGTTCCTTTAACTGCCATCCCCTTCGACACACTTCTCAGGAGCAAAAAGAGAAGCACGCTTACCGGGCGTCCTTCACAGGGTTGCTGAGGGTCAAATGAAAGCATTTTTATTCCTTTACATGCCTCTCAACTGTGATTTAGATCCAGGCCTCTTGGATTAGTATGGACAAACACTCTTCACTGTTGGCATAGAGTCCCAGGGAAAGAGCACGGGCCGTCCCGTACTAGAAAGGATGGTAGTACATCGAGACACTGAAATTGGGTCCGTGCCAGGCTCTTCACCTGCTTTGCTGTCTCCAGATCCCACTGTACTAATTCTGAGGGGGGACCCAGGAGTATCCCGTTGTTAACAAGCGCCCCAAGGTGATGCTGCATGACTGAGAGCCCTGTTTTGGGAGACACTGTTCTGAGACACCCACTTGCCTGGAGGAGCCGTGAATCCCTGGGCCCTCCAGACTTGTTTAGAGAAGGCGCAACAGCATCTGCTGATAAGACAGAATGCAGGCCTCCGCAGGCCCTCGCCCCACACCCAGGGCACACTGGCCTATGTCATTTCCACCACCTGGGGTCTGGTGCGTGTTCATGTGTGGCTGTCACCCCCCCCCCAAGGGGAAGCCTGTGAGGACAGTGGCTTGTCTCTACTTTAAGTGCCTGGAACGTTGTGTAGAACAGAGTAAGGATTCAGTGGATACATTAAAGCATTCATATTTTCATCAAGCAAAGGAACGATTAAGCTCTCCTGGGCCCCACGTTTCCTTATCTTGTAAATGAGAACGGCTATAGGACATTGCCTGGTGTTATTTCATGTTCCTTCTTAGCCAAAAATGCTCATTGATCCTGTCTCACAGTTGGTGTTATGTAGAAAACTGCCACAGAATATTTGAAATCTCTTTGTTGTGCAAATTCCTAAAAGTTGTTTGGCAGTAACGTATCCCTTCTGACCAAAAATAGTAGTGATGTGACATTTTATGTTTAGCAGAATTTTTTATTGAAATACTTTGATTCTAGTAAACTGTGAGAACCATCTGTGCATATTATTTGAAAGTTTATTAGTTATATATTGTCAGTATGCAATTTTGGTATAAATCAATGCCTAGAGACCTAACAAATGCAGAGTCTTTGTTGAAGAATGTGTTGATGTTTGGAAATACTGGATTTAGCTGTGTTTTATCTCATTAAAAAATTAACTGAACAACCTGCCCCTCCAGTACTAGCCCAGTGGGTTACAGAAACACGGCTAATTCTGGCCTCTCTCTCTCTCTCTCTCTCTCTCTCGATTGAGGGAGGAAGCCGTATAAAGAAACTCCTCTCATTTTCCTCATTTTCCTTCTGCCCTGGAATTTTTCTCTGTGTGCACCTGAACGTCTTTTCTCTGCCATAGTCACCGCGGTCGGAACACGACGCCTGTGTCTCTCATCATCAGCCCCGGTTTGTTAGACAGGAGGTGCTCTAGAGCGGTGCCCACTGAGCCACATTCATGGCCCCTGGTGCTTTTGCATCAAGGGTGCAGAGTTGTAAAGTAAATAATTTCTGATTTCCTGGTGTATATTTGCATTACTTATTTACGTGGCCTCCATGGATTACCTTTCTTGAGGCTTTAGTTGAGAATCCATTTCCTTGCCTTTACCACCTTCCAGAGCCACCTGCATCCCTTGGCCATGACCCTTCGCCCTCTTCAAAACCAGCGGTGCCGTATCTCTCTGCCCACTCTTCAGTAGTCATTTCTCCCCTTCTGCTCCCCCCTTCCACTGGTACAAGGAACCTGCTTTTACATTAGGTCCACTCAGATGATCCAGGGTCATCTCCCCATCTTAAGGGACCCTGCAGGCTCTGGGGATCCACACGTGGATGTCTGTGGGCACCATTGTTCTGTTTGCACAGTGTTCTCGGTCCTCTTAGTTGCTTCTTTGCATGTGGAAAGCAGAACTGTGCGAAAGCATGCTGTGCCGGAACATGACCCTGCTGCCCCGCATTCACAGGTCTCTGGCTATCCTGGTTCACATGGGATCACGGCCATGGCTGGCAGCATCTACCCGGGTCAGGCAACTCTTTTGGACCAGACGGATTCCTGGAATCATAGACCGCAGGAGATATCAATGTGGCAGCCCAGCGTGGAGGTAACCTGGATGTTCTTGGGCTTTTGTTTGTTAGCTGATGAAGCTTTGCCTAGGGTACCTTTATTTCTGAATCCTAAGAGTTACTGATTTTGATGACCTAATTCTAAAATCAAGGCGTTGCATCTCAAATTCTCCCCGGTTCTGTGAATCCTTTTTACTAAAAGAAAGAGACGCCACCATCATTAGCCCACCCGCCTGAAGGGCAGTGCGTCAGGCTGAGCATAATCAGCATGTGTGGGAGGCATATCCCAGGAAGGAGCAGGAGACAGCCTCCCGCTCCGTGGGCCACGTTAGCCAGATTTGCCTGGTACACCAAGAACCCCTCCGGTAACAGTCAATGTTTCTCTGACTCCCAGAACACCCATAGTCTGCTGCTCGTGCCCTTGCCCTTGGGGTGAGCATGTTTAACAATTGCTTAGTGCTCCACAGCACGCACGGACTGAGCTTAATCCTCCTTCCACTCTACCTCCAGATTGTTTTCACTTCTTCACTGCAACCAGCGATGCATTCTCTGCATATACCTTGGATTCTTTTTCTTTCTTTCTTTTAAGATTTTTATCCATTCATTTGAGAGAGAGAGAACGCACGAGTTGGGGGAGGGGCAGCGGGAGAGAGACAAGCAGAATCCCTACCTAGCAGGGAGCCTGATGCAGGGCTGGATCCCAGGACCCCGAGATCACAACCCAATCCAAAGTCAGACGTTTAACCAACTGAGCCACCCAGGTGCCCTGGGTTATTTCTTGAGAATAAAGCCCCACGAGTGGAGCTGTGAGCTGAATGACTCTGTACTTGTTAAAGATTCTTGGCAGGTGGTAACTTGCAACCTTCAGGAAAGCTGCTCCCATGAGCAGAGTCTAAGAGACCCTATTTCCACCACCCTTGCTATTTTGCTTCTTCTTTTTTTTTGGAAAAACACAGAAAATAGTAAGAGCATCCTAAATAGGCTCCTGAGAGTGGATGTGCTGTTTTATTTACTCCCCTGCTAGGACTCCGCTGCGCTGGACCTGCGTGGGATCGGGCAGGTGTTGCCGACCCACCTGATGGAAGAGCGGCTGATCCGGCAGCAGCAGGAGATGGAAGAAGATCAGCGCTGGCTAGAAAAAGAGGAGAGATTCCTGGTAATTATGTTTCTAGTAATTCGGATTTCTTCCACTTGTGAAGCTCTGCCAGAGTCTACTCTATTATAGATGACTGGAAAAGTTTGTCTTTTTCAGAATGAGATCCTTTTACATCTGGTCCCTAACACTTGCAGTCGTGTGTTATTTGCTTCTCGTGGATTTTTTCTGGCCAGATTTCTAAGATTTTAGTAGCGGCGTTACAGGCTCGGAGGTGTGAGCATCTCTGTGGTTTTCACAGAAGCAGCTACCCCTGTAGTGTCCGCTTGCATGTAAGACTTTGCATTTTGCTCCTGCAGCACGTATAACCAGACAGCCGAGAACCCAGGGCCTGCCTTCACGGCATTCCTCCTCCTCTGCTCTGACAGGTGCCTCCTCCCACACATCTCTGGACAGCCCACGTCCACAGCCCCCTTAGCTCTCCTGCGACAGAGGAAGTGGTGAGGCAGAGCGGTCTCTGTGTGTCTGTTGACACGAGGGCCTTTTGGACTCCTGGCCCCACTGCCAAGCACTTCTGTGCCCTCAGCCTCAGAACCCACTCCCCCGTTAGCCCACATGGCTAGTTCAGTCTTCCTGGAATAGCCTGAAAAGGATGGCTGAACAGAGCCAGGACTCCTAGTGTTTCCACAAATTCATAGGTCGGTACCTCCCCCTGGGTAGTCCAGAGCCAGTCCCTCATGCTTCGATTCAGTCAACATTCCCCGAAGCCACATCTGTGTCAAGCTGTGTGCTGAGAGACCAGACACCCACGAGGGTAGGGGACGGTTTTCAAATCACTTACAGTCTTCCAGGCACAGAAACACTGAAACCAGCAATGAATGGTATTAGGCAACAGTGGTTTCAACCTGCACGGTTCATCAACATGCGACTCTGATTTCATCCTTTATATGTGGCTGTCATTTTTTTTAAATTGTGGTTGAGAATTAAACACTCAGGCTCGGCGATGCACGTTTTCACTGCTGGAGAGGTCAGTGCCCTCCGCGCGGAGCGTGCTGGGCTGCCCTCAGCAAGCCTGCCGTCTTGGTGCACACGGGAGTGTGGGGCACACGGGGAGGCCTGCAGACGTCACACGCGCTCCACACTCGGTCCTGCCAGTCAGGACTGGTGCACGCTTCCTCGGCACACGCCCTGCTCACAGCTGAACGCCTCAGATCCCAGGTGACATCTGCCACGTGCCGGTCGCCGTCTGACATATTTCTCATACGTGAAGACAGTCCATCCGCTCAGCCACCCCACAAGGAAGAGGCGGGTCCAGAATCCTTTACCTCTAATTCTTGAAGGTTTTATGTGCTTCAGAATTCAGTATTTTTTTACTTTAGAAAATCAGTGTAGTGTGGTGCACATGCCACGGATGAGGTCATGTTCCAGTAGCATCCCAGAGATAAGAGCGCCGATATTCATGCATCAAAACACGAATGTTCACACGAACTGGTATAAATACAGACTTCACGTGAGTTCAGGCCAGGTTTTGCCATGAAATTAGCTTGCTTCAAATGCAAAAGAAAATAAAAATTAAGCTAAATTTCCAATCATCGGTGCTTTTTAAATTTTGGAAACGAGGATAAAGGAGTGTGCGTCTGTCCCTGTATCACCCCCATTTTACGGCACAGGAGATTTCCCGCGGTCGCCCAGCTCGCGTGCGCCAGAGCCGGATGCAGCCCGGAGTCCTGCCGCAGGGTCAGTCCTGGCTGCCGTACCGTGCTGCTCAGCACCCGCCTGGTGTGAGGCATCATCCTGCTGGGGGTACTTCTGCGTCTTCTCTACAGATATTTACAGCAAGGTGTATGAAGCGTGGATGGGCACCATGAGGGATTCACTTTTGAACAGAAGTTTCAAACTATCAAAAATCTAAATTACTTAAATCGAAGCATACTCGATGTAAGGTGAGCTGCGGACAGTGGTGCTTGTTTATGAAAGCCAGCTGAGCAGGTCCATTCGGGTCTGGAGTGGGCTTCAAGAACGGCTGTTCCCTAGGCCCTCTTAGACGTTTGACCAGACAGCCTACCTATTTTCCTGCATTGATGTGGGATTTAAAAAGTCAGTATCACAGATTCTTCGACCTAGAGCTCATGTGTCTAAATACCACTGTCTTGCGTACGACTGACGGTGCCCCGAGGGCAGCAAGGGCACACGAGGAGCCCGCAGGTGCCTGCAGGAGTCAGGGACGGTGCCAGAGGCCAGATACGTTGAGCCAAGGCTGAAAGATCCATTGGACTCTGCAAGGCGAACGAGTTCAGGGAATGCCACCAGGCAGAGAGGATGAGCATGACTAATGACGTGGGTCAGAAGACTGTTCTCAGACTCCCCACCCATGCTAGACAGACCGTAGTAGGGGGACGTAGCTAATGAGTTCAACGCCGACTCCGACTTCCGAGTGGGTTCGGGACCCGGCTGGTTCGCTGTTGGGCTTTTTCTTGTCGTTGAGATTGTTTACATGCAGTGGACGGAACAGGCCCTAGCGCGTACGGTTGGGTGAGTCTGATAAATGTGTAAGTCCGTGGACCCCACACCCCATACACAGGACGTTTCCAAGACTCCACATAGCTTCCAGATTATGTTCAAAGGCCATTAGTGAAGCTATATAAAATGCCCCCCAGGACTCCAGTCTGCACCGCACCTCACCTGCAGGACGGCCTGAGCGCTGTGGCGTCCTCAGTGAGCACGTCTCCGCAGCTCAGGACCTTCCCAGGATTTGTTCCCGGTGTCCTTTACTGCTCCCGTGCAGCTTTTATGATTTTTTTAAGTGTGTGTCTTGCTTCCCTTGCTAAATTCCTGCCCATCCACTTAGAGCTGCCTGCCACTGATCTAACGGTGTGGTTTCCATTGAGCTTGGTGGTTGTGCGTTTTGTGTGTGTGTGTGTGCCGTTGGTTTTTAGACCTTTCTCTTGTATTTTCCAGTATCTATCACATGAACTCTGATTGCCTTGGATTTTCTGTTGCTTTTTCCCCCATTTTGAGGCATAACTGACACACGTGACTTTTTAAAAAGATTTTTTCTTCATTTTCAATGTTTGTTACATACTTTGTATTCTCTTCTGAAGCATCTCTTGCCGACTTTCATATTACATAGGTCCTTGCCTGCTTTTATTTTTAAAGATGTTGTCTGTAATGGTTTTTCCATTAGGTATAATATTGGCTCTGTATTTTACAGACATTTTTTTAAGAAAAACTTGTGGGGACATTGACATGATGAGTAATGTGGGACATTTTGCTTGGGTTTGGGCCAGCCCCGCATTCCAGAGTCAAGTCCCTACTTAAGGCATAATTGATCATTCTTTTAGTCATGGCGTATGTCGTTTCCCATTAGAATTTAGTCGTGCTGTCCATAAGTGAGAATGACTTACTTATTTCATTGTGGGCTTCAAGATCAAATCAGTACCAGTGTCACAGGGGGTTGGATAATCCCTACCCCGTCTCTGATTTGAGTGTTCACAAGGCAGGCATTGTCGGTGGTAGGGCTGAGGGCAAGCGCATAGTCAAGACGGGGGCCTGCTTCCAGCGGGAGTTGCAGGCAGAGGAACAAAAGCAAGGAGACCGGAGTGACATAAATGTCAGCATCGCTGTTTGCTGCCACAGCCACAGTGATATTTCTAAAATCTGATGCTGTCGCTCTCGGGACTTAACATCTGCCCGCGGCTACCGTAAGGTGGACCGCCAGGCCTATGAGCTGACCCTCCGTCCTTCCTGTCCTCAAGGTCCAGCCGTCCTCAGTCAGCCCCTGACTGTGACAGAGAGGCCTGGGCACAGGAGGGGAGGCCCAGTACACACAGCCTTTGGGGAAGGCCGAGCAGCTGAAATGACCAGCAAGGGCCAGCCCAGGGACATCTGGGGAAGACATTCCAGGAAGATAGCACACCAAGCACAAGGGCCCAAGGATGTCTGAGCACAGAAAGACCACCGCGGTGGATAAAGGGGGACAGACAACACAGGGCCCCTTAGGCGATGGCAGGCTGGAGGGAGCCAGGGGCCAGGGGTATGGGAGGTTGTGGGAACACGGTGAGCACAGTACATGTTGGCACTCAGAATGATCATTCCTGGCTTGGACTCTCCTTTTCAAGAAGGTGTTACTAGGAAGAATCCAGACTCTGGAGTCAGCCAGATGAGAATTAAAAATCCTAGTTATTATGATCCTATATAAATTGTTTAATCTCTAGGCTTTCATTTATTAATCTGTTAACGTATAAAATAATCTCTATATAAAGTGTGGGTAATACTCCCAGGGCTGGGTCGAGGATTGAATGTTCCGCACATATACACTGGGCAGGTGAAGGGTACACAGAGTTTCTCCAAGGGCTTTGCTTTCTCACCCAGCTTGTTCTCTATAGCACTCTGAGAGCTGCATTGCTGAGACTCTAGAATCCTGGATCCTATCCTGCATACTACACAGAGTGCCCAAAGGCCATCCCAGAGTACCTTCTGGCCACTCCTGACCAAAAACTAACATAACAGTTTGAGTGAGAAATTTAACCAACCTGCAGGGATTCTGCAAAGGAGCATCGCTTTTATTAGATTTGCTTGTTAGTATAAATAAACCTTAATTCCTTTTTGCTATTGGTAGAGCTCCCATTAGTGGATTATTTTTAGCAGCCAGCTAACAAGGCCCCTGCTTTGACTGGACCCACGTGCTCTCCCAGGATGTGGAGACTGGGGGCAGGAGGCAGCCTTCCAGGCCAGGGCTCTACGCTGCAGGCTTCTCAAGCTGTCAGTGAGGAAGGGTCAGTTTCTGGGTTTTTTCCTAAACTTACAAGGATGTGACATCCTTGTAAGTCCCGTCTATATAAAGCCTACTTTGTGTTCTGAAAACGGAAATGAATGTTTGAGCTGTTTCTCCTCTCACAAATCACATTTCTCCTCTCACACAGACCCACCAGTCAGCCTGAATGAATGCTGAGTGCCAGGCCGGGGGGCCGGGGGTGGGGGCGGGGGGCTGCTGCAGGGACAAGGCCACAAGACCTCCTCTGGCCCTTTCTGCTGAACCAGGCCATGGCCCTCCTATGTTCTTT